GTGGCCAGACATGATCTTCTTATAGAGTTGGGCTGATGGAGACAGGACCAGCCTAGATCGGAATTGATGGTGACACGGCTACCAGTATTCTGGTCCTCGAAGGGCAAGTACCCACAGACCAACGCGAACAGTATCACACCACAACTCCAGATGTCACAAAGGTGTGGTATCTACAAATAGTGAAAAATCATTTCGATGAACAACAGCTGTTGGTGGTTATCATTACGTAGTTTTTCCCTGCGATCATTTCTGGCGCTGCATAGCAGGGCGATCCACATGCGGTCTTCAGCAACTGACCGCTATCAAACGTATTGGATAAACCAAAGTCAACTATTTTGATGTTCTTCTCCTCATCCAACAGCAAATTCTCCGGCTTAAGGTCCCTACTCGAGCACCGTCTTCAGCCACCACGACCACCAAGCTCCGTAGCCACTACCGATGGACAACCCCAAGTTCATGGATCTTCTCCACACCGCATATGATCTGTCTGAAGAACTTGCAGGCCTCGTCCTCGTTAACCCTCTGATTGTCCACTATATAATCGAACAACTCGCCGCCTGACCCACAGCAGTCGTTCCCCCTTCTCACCGAGTCACCTTACCTGGCGCATACTCCATGATGAGATAAAGCTGCCGATGGGTCTCGATGATTTCATACAGCTGCACTATGTGTGGATGCCGTATGAGCTGAAAAATACGCCCATCACAAAATCACTAAATCAGAGGGAGCTCACCTTGAGTATTTTGATTTCCCGAGAGACCCGTTCAACATCGCTGATATCAATGATCTTTTCCTTCTCTAGAATCTTGATAGCAACCTGAAAACCAAAACCCTCCAAAAGCAGAGTGATAAATTAAATCACCTTTTCCCCAGTGAGAATGTGAGTTCCCAATTTCACTTTTCCGAAAGTTCCTGAACGCATTTCCTGTTGTGATGCAGTAGAAGTTATGCCACTTCACCTTCACCGATCGTTTTCCCCAAAATGTAGTGCCCTATCGCCCGCTTCGTCTGAGTCCGCTGAGGTTTCTGAGCCTCTGTTTGGGAGAGGTAAGCTGATTTCAACACGGTTAAGTCGCTGAGACAAGCATCGCTACCTGCAGCAGCTGGTCCCACAGCGTTGTAATGGCGTGGATAGGAAGGCGCCTGATGATGCCTGCTAGGCGCGTAGTATCCCCTGGCAGAGACGGGTACTGTTGTCGCTGTCATGATCAATGTACTAGTCACTCGGTCCCTAACCCGAACCTTATTATCTAAATTTCTCTATAGGACCAACAAGAATACACATCTATTGCTCCGTGAGCCAACACTGATCCAATTTCGCACGACGATCGAACGAGATGCCCGACAGATGATGTAGGTCCCTCTCTTGAGGACCACTGCCATGATGCAGATTGCTATCGACCTTTCCATCGTTGTGAAACAGTTGACGAGTTGTATAATCGGATCTTGCGCAGATCGCGTGCGGATCATCATGGCGTAATTTCGTGGCGCGTGACGGATTGCAACTGTGGTGACCCCAACTCAAACTTCTGGAGTCTAACTGCGACAAGCTTTACTCGTTTAGGGTATTCAAAAAGAAGCAGCTCCTTCTGTCCAACGCGGGGAAGCTCCGTTCGCCTCACGATTTCATTTCCGCAGTGCGAATCGCTAGCGGAGCGACGCGACCATCCGCATCGGTACTCAACCTAGGTTAACGAGTTTAAGTCATAATGATAAGTTAATAATACGAGTTAATAACTTCAGTGTAATATCGGTTTACTGTTAACCTTCATTACAGTGAAGTACCCATCGATTCTTCGCTTGGGGTCAGCTCGGCACTGCTTTCCTTCTACAAATCGTCTCTACGGAGAATTATGAGTACTGGCTTCCAATACTAATTCAACAACTTCGCTGATAACAGTATCAACACCAGTAGTGTTCGGTGCAGACATATGAAATAGAGAAGTCGTTCGATAAACCCATTTCGAAACGCGTACAATCCGATGCTGGGATCGATTCTGAATTCCAGAATTGATTCAATGAACATGGGGAGAATTTGCATGACACGAACGGGAGCATACCTCTCGTAGACACTGCTGATAGTCACCTCACTATTGAGTATAGGAGTTATGACGATGAACCGAAGTAGCTAAGCTTCAGCAGAGTATCGTACGACCGTAAACATGCGTGAATGTGAGACAGTCTACACCAGTGTCGAAATGTATGTTTCGTTTCCTCAGCTGAGCAATGAGGAGCTTTCTCATTAGTTGTAGAAGTTTACACACGAATTGGAGTAGAAATGTACAGAAACCAATGAGAAATTCTCGAGACTTCTCATTGTCACAAACACATGTAGTTGACCATGTGCATATTTTCCTACGCACAGTGGTCTGTTTACTCAGCTGTCCATACCTCACTCTGGTAGACCCGTATTTTGGTGACGGACAGGAAATGCCTTCCACAACTCCCTCCACTGACAACGAACATGCCCTGAGGGATCTTTACGAAGTGAGCCACAGGCAGGTCAAACATTCAGAAATCACCAATCCTCATCGACTGGCACTGATACACGCGACTCTACTCCGGTCTCCTGTGACAGGAACTGCTGTCCTTTTCACTCGAGGCGCCCTCTCTAGGTGCTCGAGGACGAACAGGAGTCACAGTCGTTCCTAGCTGATCCAATTTGGTGGAGATGCTACGATCAAATAAATAGGAAAAGAATTCTCAATCCGAAGAGTGCGGAGTACATCAACTTGAAGATAATGTTCTTCGAGATTGTCTCCTACCTGATATTCGTGAGTACCATCTGTGCGAGCGTCAGAACTTGTCCACTGGATGTTGCCCGACAGTCAGGCAACGAATCTTCATGCTTCAGTTCATTATTCTAACCTTGTTGATATACGATTCGCGGGACACACTGGTACACCAAACGAGAGAGCAACAGTTGAGGTACGCCGTTCAAGATAGTCTGTGGAATCAGTCGAGTCACATCCTGGGAAATTCCTGCCTGAAGACTTCAGAATCCGATGATTGACCGGAGAAGTCGTCACCACGCTCTGTATAAGAACGACTGCCGCCGTGGTAAGGTACTGGGCATCATGCAACACAGAAGCTGCAGAATGTGGCCTGCGGAGAGTGACAGACCTGCGCACGTTCTGGTCGTGGATGGCTGATGATCTCGTACGACCCTCCCATTGGACATGCATGAGATCCATTAGCACTTGGCATTGCATAGGTTCGCCTCTCGACCATTCAGCCGCTACAGAGACATGCTTCAGCTCTCACAACTAGCCAACTGACTCAGGATATTATTCGAACCGAGAACGTGAGCTACGCGAAATATCGGCATCCTGTGGAGATGCAGAGACAGTTAGAGGTGGATCAAACCCAAGTGGTCAGATCCGAAGCATGCAGACAAGTTTCCCTTCCAACGATTTCACCGTCACTCACCACGCGGCTGTTCTCGCTGATCCATCTGTGTTCACTATTATCTTGGGTAAGGGAACCTGGACCGACGCTCCATTATTCGCACTCAGGCTCAATCCGAGTCCGCCAGCTTCGCGTAGGAGCGAACAAGGGCTGTGAGGTCCCCAAACTATATAGGTATCAATCAACTGCCTCTCCAAAACACTCGCTATATCCGCAATCAACCGCTTTGTCGGGAGCGTGAGGAGACCATCTTCATTGGGTTCAGCCGGGCTACTTTCCGACACTAACAGTGGTGTGATCGTCAGACAACTCGTCTCCGACTGCTACAGCGAATTCATCGAGGGACAGAGTGAAAGCAAGGAATTCTTCGGGTCCTCCCAGAGCCCTTCGTACGGTCTTCCAGAGTGCTCGACATCAAACAACGCGCGCACCAGATACATCACGTCAGCCTTCGAGTGGGCTGATGCCTCCCAGACTGGAGGGTCTAGCACGCGGAGGGGTGGGACATTCGCTACAGACAGAATACGTGCTCATAGGTGGGTTACCCACAGCTGTTATCTTCTACCGTACGTGCGGTCCCCAGTTATCCGGGTAGCGGCTTCTTTTTCGACTTGCCACACAACAATAGCGACGCAACAAACGTGCTCCGAGACCTCAAGGTTTGACGGGGAGGCCTTCTGGTCGCAGGTAGCTCGCTCGCTCAGAATTCTCACTGGATCGACGCGGCGACTAGAGCCATCGTCGTAGAGATTCCAACACTAACTCCCAATACGCGAGTTCTGACAGCAACTCGAATCTTGTTCGAGTTTAGCCCGACCGGTAGGGAGTCATCTGTGCCCTCGTCGTAACCCGGTCGATAACGTTCACGTCGTCGAATCACTCTCAGGTGCCGTCAAGGCATCCGAAATAGTATCCTCATTCCCCGTGCACGCCCTCTCTATGTCTGCCGCTCGCGCAGAAGAGGCAATAGACCTCCTCCTGCATGTGACCCATCTTGCTACAGCGTCACATTAAGATCCTTCAGCAGGTTTTCTGTCTCATTCTTCTCATCGCTTCAACATCGTGGATACTTTGGCAAGCTAAGCGACTAGGAGCGGCGCGAGTGAGCCTCCGGAGTCCGGAGATAAGCCATCTCGTCCACTCTCCTCAGTATCTTGCCTACGGCTGGAACGCGATGGATGTCATCATTACTCTGTTCCTAACGTGCTACCTCGTGTTCAAGATCCAGGTTCGCGAAAAGTTAGACGCGGGAGCGAGCGCCCTTACCCAGGTGTATGTAGCAGTAGCGAGCACCGATGCCCTAAGCAGCGACAAAATTGGGCATCCCGATTACTTCGCGCCTATCATGATGAAGGCCGGGCTCTCATTAGAGAAAGCCGCCACAATTCTGAGGTCAGCAACGGAGAGATTCCACGGCCACAGTTCCTCTGCTACATCGGTCTAGTGTCCAACCTTGTCTTTGTCGCTCAGTTGTATCAGCTTCCTGTCTTGGATTAGACTTTTCAAGTACTTCGAGCTGTGGTCGTCCCTCCGGATGCTCAGTCGAGTAAGAGTCTCAGAGTCCTTGTGTAAAGTCAGTGGTATCATCTCAGATCATACTCGACAGCACTGGTCGATTCCTAACCTACGGAGCTCTTCTAATCAGTATTGTCTTCACTGCGTTCTCCTTTGCATTCTATGTTGGCCTCGGGAGTATCTTCCCTGAGTACTCCAGCGTTCCACATGCGTTCGCTACGGTCATCTTCTCCCTAATGATGAGTGTGAGAGCTCTTTGCTTCGTCAGTCACAAAGCGATGCTTCTGTCAGCTTCGAATTGACCCGATATTCTACCAACCCGGCAACGAAACTGTTGGAGCCTTCCTCGCGCTATGCTACATTCTCTTAATCTACTTCGTAGCTTTGCCCATTTTCACTGCTATTGTGCTCGACGCTTTCTACCACGGTCGAGGTTGTGAGGAAAAGGGTGGGAAAAACCCAATGAAACCTACTTCGCCTGGTCCCCTCGGGGTGAAAACTCTAGTGAGGCTAGGTTACAACATTGGCTCAGTCTTTGCCACCTTGAATGGAGTCGACTGAAATTCCCATGCTTCTCAGAGCGGCTCTCAAAGCTGGCGACACTTTCTCAAGGGCTTGTGGTCCATCGAGAGGGACGTGGAACGGCGGAGTCCGATGATAGTTTTCTTGTATTCAACATCGTGCTAGGTTCAGAGATCGCGGAAAATGATTCAAACTTCGCTCTGTGGCCCTCATAGTCATTTGATTCCTCAGCAAGGTACGCATCCTACAAGTCCTTGAGAGGCGAGCCAGTTAACATTGATAGTGTCGAGGACATCGGTCTCCCTGATGAACAGGAAATACAGTTGAAGTTGCTACCTGGGTAGGTGACAGCTATTACACACTAACTCAGTCCTTGACTGACTATTCCGACCACACATAATCTAAACGCCGCCTCTGAAGAAGGTTCCTTGGACAGGACTCCCATGGAAACGTTCACATTTTTTGTCAGTATCGTCGCTCAGCGGTGGTTCGAGCGAAAGCGTCGCTTGTCATACCTCGTTGATAAGAATCTGCGGAGAGAGAGCCATACAGTTAGGTGTCTCTGTCGCGCCTGCCACGACTCGACGCTCCTTCCAGAATTCTATCAGCGACACTCGCCCGACTTCAACGAAAGCCGGCTTTCAAAGCAGCTCTATCAAGGCAAAGGGTATGGTGATGAAAGTAGGCCGGAATACTATCGCAGCTTTCAGTGACCGATGGGTTCAAATTCTCCAAATTAGCGAATCGCCAGTTGTATTTTAGTTGCTCGAGAAGACTAGGGAAGCTCTCAAACTACCATCAATAACAGAATTTCAGCCCGACATTCCTAGTCAAGTTCCGGGGGATAGCAGTGCTCCTGGACCAAGACCGACAGATTTGTGAGACCCCCCTGTGGTGCTGTCGAGACCCACAATAGATAGGGCCGAGCTCCCCTCAGATATCTGCTTGATAAGAATGCTGTCGAGCAGACCACATTGAGCCGGGTTCAACTGCAGCGCTTGATGGACGAGGACCAGACATTGCCGTTGCTCCTTGGAACCACACGAGCGACGGACGTTATTCGGAGGTCTTCACACTCTGTCACTTCACTGATGGACTCTACGTTAGCAGATTCAAGTTGTCTGACGACAATCCGGAGACCTCCCATCCGATCGACAAGGGACCAGAGCAAGTAGCTGAATTGCAGGAGGAGTGGTATCGTAGACTAGACCGCCTTGAACAGACAGATCTGGTCACGGCAACCAAAGAGGTTGGCACACTCAGGGACTAGACCGACAGTGGGAACTGCTGTCCCTGGTACGACTCTCAGAACCCATTTTGCCGTCAGCTGATGACGGAACTCGACAAAGCAATTGAGCGAACGCACAGTGTATGGCGCAACGATCTGCACTCTTTGAGGGGGATGGTCGGCAATCTCGCTGAACAATTGCTAGAGTTGACAAAGAGCTTGGACACAGCGCAAGTAAGGCCGCCTTCCATATGGCGTCCGTTATGGACGTTAAAGCGTTACTCACTATCTTCATGATGTGTGTTATGTAGGCCAATAATGTTGCGATGCTGGATAAGGATGCGCTGTTTATTTTGGAACAGCAGAGAAGTAGAAGCCCAGGATCAGCGAGTAGGAGTCCTGATCAGAATCAGGGATAGTCATGACATGTGCGATCATGAGCCTTGATCTAATTAGCATTGTATTGAGTTACTAACCACGGATGGAGGAAGGGACACTCGCAACTTATCGCCCAACACTCGCATTTCGTCTACCGTGACAGTGCGGCTGTACCACTATGGGGGCAAGTGCCCGAATCGTATAATGTATATCAGCATAAACTCGTCTTAATTGGTAGGTCGTCATGTCGGGAAGTACATGTGCTTGAACGCGCAGTTGGATTCGGAATCGATACTTTTCAGCTGTGTCTAGTCCGTTGTTTAGCATTCGATTCCTCTGACAACCATTAGCTCGTGCGAGTGCATCATTCTATAGCATCACCTGGCGCGTGATATATCTTGAATAGTTCTTTATCAGATAAGTTGTCTTCTAGAAGGTGTATCATCTCCTCTCCTATGTATATCATCCGTCCCTATTATTCCAGCAATCAGTTTTGACAATGTGCGCAATCGTATGTAGAAACAACGCGTATCGCGAGAATAATGTACGAAGATGCAAGTCTGTGCCATTTAGCCACTAACCAAAGGTGATAAACCAAGTTAATCTGTCCCACGCTTATCTTCCTCGCGCCACATAACTTCTCCTGAAGTCGATGCTCGGCGCTCGGAATAAAGGAACTGGCTTCGCGTACTTGGCTACATGCAGTTTTAGTCAACTAGTCCATCGTGTCTCTGCTAAATCATCGATTACACAATTTGTACGCGTGACGCATGCTTACCGACTACAACACGCAAGACCCACTCATGAGATGTCGGAACGACTGATCCATGGGCACAACAGCATAGAGGAAACACGCTGTTCACAAGCAGTATCCGTAAATCTCATCCAGCTGTATTGTCACTGATCCTAGTAATGAACGATGCCCGTTAGTAAACATCTCTGCAATAGGGCAGCACGCACTCACATTTGCTAGTACCTCCGTCGTTTTGTTGCCACCTTCATTGGTGACTCAGCACTCGGCAGACCAAGACGACTCAGTGGAAGCAAACTCAGCTCCTTTTATGATCCAAATTGGAAGTCATAGATTGGCAAGGCTTTTAGTAAACAGAACGAAGGGACGAATTCATGCGATGTAAATGCCCACCACACAACTGAAATGCAGTAAACCAGTGTTCCCAACACATTGACCGTCAGTAGCAGAAACGGCAGTGATGTAAGTTAACATATGGCCGGAACTCCCTAACTGTAAAGCCTATCTCCCACGCAAGGGCAACACAGAAGACACCACTAAGACAATGCGTCATACGCCAATAACACGAACAACAACATTTGGCCATTGAAGCCTTCGAAAGGTCTTGATTTTCTCGTCAGCAGCCGCAGAGAAGAGATCGTCAAGCAACATGCCAAACCCTGTTAGTTCGAAACAACACAAAAAGAGAGAGAGTTGTATCCGATGCCTAATGTAATGGAGATAAATGCTACAGATAAGGCTAACCTCCGACCGAGTCGACAACTATGGACGAACTCCTCGACAGACGAGGACTTCAACCACCGACTAATCGTGAAGACGATCAATTACTCGATATAGCACGATACTGTTAAACCTGGCAACTGTAAGTGCGAGAACTACAATAATTACTCTGCGAGAACGGGATAATGCAGGACTATCTAATCACGAACTGGCAAGTCTCAAGAAACCTATTGTGGTGATGGTGACAGTAACTAGTGTCTTCACCTGCGTACTGCACGGTACAAACATTCACGCGAGCTTCACGAAAACACCAACTATACAACTACATGGTCTAAACGGCCTCTCGAACGCCGTAATATAGAGGCAGTACTAACACTGCAAATATCATCTAAGTTACTCGCAGACCGACACTTCGCCGCTGCCAGAAACAGTGACTCTTCACATACATATGCTAAACACTGATGAGACTTAGAAGTTGAAGCCATCAACTGGGGGATGGATCTCAGAGAGAACATCTTGATGCAGTTGAAGCCAGTCCATCACAGCCATAGCCAAAGTAGGATCAACAGCAGCGGCTTGGACCATGGGACACTGCTGAGCAGCCTCCTTGAGCATTGAATCCTCCATCAGCTCACTGAAGGTCGTCGGCATAGGCTCGTGGGCGACTCCACTGCTATCAGTATACGAGTAGGACGCATTCTCCGCTGGCGCACCGGCATCAGGTGATGCAGACTTCGTCTTAGACCCGTCGCGCTTGTCGCGCTTGAAGAAGCGTTGGAGTGACACTTCGATTCCTGAGCAGGTGAGCATTGGACCATCCAGGCGGTTTCTCTCTTCAGCCTACCTTTAATGGTCTCGGTCCTCGCAGCGGCATACCCCATGATAGCATCAACCGCTGCCTTGTCAGTGAATACAGCATACGCGATGTTGGGTGACCGAAGAGCTCCAACAGTATGATTAGACTTCGAGTGACGACGCGAATGGACTACCTCAACTCTACTAGGGGTGATCCCATACCTAAACACACACGGTGAACCGGCGTGGCTCAAGCGGCGCCTTACGCTTCCTCGAAATGCTGAATAATTATATGCTCAGCCTCGAACCCGAGTCGCTGGATTTTCTTCAGCGTAATCACAGTCCCGTCAGCCTCACGGTAGATTCCAGTAACAACCTCCTTTATGGTACGAACTCTGTTCATCTGAGCGCATCATCCAACACAGCAACAGAAAGCAGTTGTTCGTACTTGCTTGGCATCCGAGCTCTGTGAAATCATGCTATCTCTCGACGACTCGCCTCCCGAGTTGTAAGCCTGCGATAATCGAAGTGAGTCGGGCGAGCGAATCTTCAGATTTACCAATGGTGTCTTATCTAACGACCGGCTTTCCCTGACTGCCATAGTAGGGCCGTAGGACTCATCGAGGGGCATGTTGGAAAATGGTAATCTGCTAACGATCAACAGTAAACTATTTACTTCCCGTTCTTACTAACGCTTCCAGCAACTACCATCAGACAGTAAAACTTCATGGAAGGCTAACATACGTTGTAGCTGATCACATCCCGTCATCGCGGCCAACATCAGCTCCATACCATTAGGAAACGCTAAGATATGCAAGACGGGCGAGATGTTATTATGATGATTTCGTCCGAAGCGGGGATCGAACCCGGGACCTCGCGACAAGCCTGATGACGTAGGCGCGACTCTGTCATGCGAGCTAGAGGAGAACCATTGCACACTGCAGCAGACTTGCATACGTGCGTTCGAGGTAGGCTGTGATGAACGGCTGCCAGTGGAAGGTTCAACGCTTTTATTCCGAGGAACCGCGTACATGCGTATCGCTGAGACCTGTCGTACCATGTATTACTCGTTATAAAAAAGTTTCAATCGACGTAAAGACCATTGGAAATTATCATTGAGAACAGACCTCCACTGATCCGTTGAACGACGCGAGGCTTAATCGCCTCCTGATTAGTTTTAACCCACAGCGCAATCCATCTGAGGATCCTGCGGATACACATTTCGTGCGTTGGACTATGAAGACGATTCGAAGGTGACCGAACCCAGCGCGTAGTTGCTGACGATATTGGCACAATAATGATGCTACTCATCAAAAAGCAGCACTCTTCTCTCCATCGCACCAGTGACTTCCCAAACAAAATCACTTTCTCCTTGTGCGGGCACGGGACAGTGATTGTGTGCGGTCGCTCGCTAAAACTGCTAGCTTAGCAGGGACATAAGCTAGTCGTTAGTGCGATGTGAATTATAGTTGTTACTGTTGACAGAATAAGGTGAGGTTATATTGTTGACAACAAGGAAAGGGTTTAGCCGTGAAAGAATTTTCAGTATATGGCGAAGGGTTCATTGGAGTAATTACGGGGACCAGGAATGCACGCTGTGGTATGCACATGCATAGAGCTTGAGTGACGAGACTAGTTCATCTTATTGTAAGAGTAACTGACCGTCATGTTTTGATATAGTTTCTTATAATCATTCTCATGTCTTCCTCCGTTGCGGATCCTGCTGTCGACGATAAGCTCAGTTCTGCTGAAGAAAAAAAGGTCGTCATCGAGGCCAGAGTTGACTGGTGGCTCAAAACCCAGTTTTGCATCATTGGCTGTGTCTCCCTCCTCGGATGGAACTTCATCCTAGGGGAGTTGGGTACCTTAATCGATGCATTCGGTGCCTCCTATGGAACTTGGGTATCCATGTTCTACTCTCTGTTCATCAACATAGGGCAGCTGCTGCTTGTGTACATCGGTAACCGATTCAAGTTCGGTCCCCGGTTCTACATTGGCTGTGTTGGTATGGGGGTCTCTATGATGGTCATTGCCGTGTGCGCCATCACCTTCGGCAGAGTCAACCACGTGGCTGGCTTCGCGTGTGGGTGCATCCTCATCGCCATCTTCGGTTTCTCCAATGCCCTTATGGAGTCCTCGATGTTTGGGTTAGCAGCCCTTGTGACTGCTGATTGTACCAAATGGATTATGATAGGTGAAGGCTTTGCAGGTCTCCTCGCTTGGCCTGTCAATAAATTGTGTCAAGTCATCGTGGAGGCGGCCGGGGCTGACGATTCTACCAACATGATGTATATACGAATGGTTGTATTCTACTTTGTTGGTATGCTTGGTAACTTGGCAATCATTCCTATGTACAGATATGCAATGGAACCCCATCCCTACATGATCAGTGTTCTGAAGATCCAACAGGATCGTGTGAAGTTCCAGCTAAAGAAGGCTATGAAACGTCCTGTTGGGCAAGTAATCAAAGACAGTCTCCCACAGGCCTTCAACGTCTGGCTCAACTTCGTCATAACTTTCACTACTTTCCCGTGGCTGATATACGAGATGACCCCATCGTCTCTGAGCGTTGGATCTTTCGGTCAGCTGATGACATATTGTTATCAGGTCTTCGACACGGTTGGTAGGTTTTCTCCCGACATGAGGATCAGGCTTGGGAAGAGGGCTACACGTTATGCTTGTCTCGGACGAATTATTTTTATTCCTTTGATGTTCCTCTGTGTGCACATTTCCGCCCCTCCGTTCGAGGATGATTGGTTCCGATTCATCATCATGGCCTTGATAGCAGCCTCCAATGGCTGTGTCGCGACTTGGTGTATGATTCATGGGCCCACTCAGGTGGATCAAAATGAGAAAGAAGAGCTCGAAATCGCTGGTTATGTGATGGCGTTTGCTCTTGTTTTCGGTATATTTACTGGCTCTGTAATTGCTATCATTATCCAGCAAAGTGCCTACATTTAAAGGTACTCGCTGTTTTCAATGTGTGTCATTTTCATGTTATTTTCTATGCTTGAAAGAGCAAGTACTCCATGCTGTGAGTTTGAATCATATGTCGTTACGTGGAACATGCTTTTACAATATAAACACAAGTATTGTTGTGAGTGTACAGTGAATATTGTATTTTTCTCTATTACGTAGTTAATAAAAGTTGTTCGCCTAATTACTCTATAAGGGTTGTCCTACACTGACTCGTGTAATCGCGGTGTCTAGTTGAGACAGCTCGTACTCTTGTGAATATACTAAGATGTTTGAGCTCCATTCAATCGGTGGTTGGGTTGTCAATTTCATGAGTGAGTTAGTGGTACTTGTGGGTTGTATAGCGGTGGTACTGTCATCCAGTGATGCTAGCATTGGAAGGATAGGAAAACGTTGAATTGTGATTCGTGGTTTAGTTGACCGTGTGATGTTGAATACCATACGTGTGTCAGCCCCAGCATATTTCTGGATAACTAAGACCTCGAGGCAATTGGAAGGATGCTCAGCAGCCTCTGGAGTCCTGAAATCTAAAATCCAGGACGCTGCTGAGCTGACTCCAAGAGCTCTAGCATATATGGTTCATCTGGGGAGTTTAGAGTAAATGGGTCTTCTCAAGAGTTTAGCATCGAAGTTCTCGCGGCGTCAGGTGTGGCCACTTCAGACACAAGTATTAATACCACCTATACCACACTTCCATAATTGGCTAAGCCAAATTGGCTTGGCACTTCAAGGGAGTATTTAATAGAAGTAGCTGCTTGCTAAAGTTAGTCAGCTAACTAACGACAATTTATTGCTCGCCGTGACTACCTGCATAGTACTATATCATAGTCAACTGCCCGAAGAGTTTTCATAAGAGGAAATCTGTCATTGGAATAAGTCGGGAATGAATGCCGGCGAGCAACAAGCAACAGACTTTGTGGTCACTTCGCCCGGCTAACTAGCGTTGTATTAATTAGCTCGGTATCGCTACTCTCAAAACTCAACATGTGATCGAATCTTCCCTGAGTAAACTCAAACAAGCTCCGCCGTTCACATACATAGAATAACCAGTGTGTAAATGGACAGTTACGAACTTAACAGATTTGTCAGAGCTGAAAAGGTAGGTAGAATGGTGTTAACACTGCTGGACAGGGTGACAACGTATAGCAGGAGGCACCATAGCACAGCAGCAACCAGAATGAGACCAACAGTAGTGGCAGCAACGACAATCGTAGAAGCATTAGCGTCATTTACTATAAATACATACGGCAGTAACCATCTCGTACTATCATTTTACATTCTGAATATGCGGGAAGCACCACCGCCCAGTAACTAGGCGAACGGCAGTTGGAGTACATAGACGTTATATGTTCCTTTCTAGAAGCGTCTGTCTCGGCTACGACTCCTTGATCTAGGGCGATACTCCTGCGCTCGCGCGGAGTAGTCCGGAAGAGCTCCCGTGGATTCCAGCGAGGAAGCTCCCGTAGGCGGACCAGCAGCGGCACCCTCCAGACCTCCAGCCGATGCAGCAAAGCTATGAGGCGTACCACACTTTCGACAAACTTGTCTTGAGGCGAAGTTCATATCACCACATTGAGGGCAATCCCAATCACCTTGAGCAAGGACAGCCATAGCTACTAGCGCTATCGCCACACCTTACCCGGCCTCCTAACTTGTCCACCACCACCACCACCTTTACCCTTGCCGTAATACCCAGGCCAACCTCCCCATCTACATACCGATCAATTTCACCCTCTACTACAATTCCTCAATTCACTCGACGAAAGAACTATTGAATTTCCCTCGAATAAACTTCACAGTAAGAGCCTTCCCTCAGTCTTACCCTCCCCAAGCCGGCCACCTGAAAAGTAATAATAAAAATCCGCTTATTGCGAACTTCTATTACATTGGCATTCCTCCTGCAGGGTCACTAGACGCATAAGGATCATACGCTAAGGAACAATTAAAACGTTCATAGCCGTTCCAGCAGGGCAACTCCTCACCTGGCATTCCATAGGCGCTCATCATTTGATAGGCCGCAGCTGCCGCCATATACTCCGCCTCCAATGTCGCAGGATCGGGTGGCGGTGCCCCCTTAGGAGCCCCACAACTACGGCAGTACTCATTACGAGCAAACTGGTGGTCGCCACATGTATTGCAGAACCTGATTTCGAACAGCTGGGTCAACCTCTCACCCTAGGTGTTACCAATCTCCTTCACGAACCTCCTGCTTGTGCTTAGGCCGACCTAACACATAAAAATTCACTATGAAAAAGCACCGATATCATACCCCATCCAGCGGTCATATTATACATAGCACTCCGGTCCCCCGAGCCCCAGCCGAGACCCCCATCACGAAGACCCTCCTCAAAACCGTCCGCTGTTGCGCCGGCTGCTGCTGTCGCTGATCCACTGTACCCTTCCGCTGGCTGGCGATCCATCGAACCACCAAAACCTTGTCTCTCGGTCGATGATGACGATGATGAGGGAGCCGGTGGAGTATTATCCCACGAAGATGGCCCCGGGTAGTTGCTCATTTGCTGACCTAATGCTACTGCCATTCTCATCACCTCCTGGCTCGTATGCCTCAACAACAGGTAAGTGTGGGAAACTCAATAATTTATCAGCTTGAGTGTGATGGTAATCGGGTAAGGAATGTTCTTTATTCATCGCCTGCCCCTAGCCATTTTTCGAGGAGTCTCGCCTCAGCGTCCTCCAGGGCAAATCTGGCAAAGGCATTATCCCACCGTACTTCCGTACTGCAGCTCCTACTTATGCTGTACAATATCCAAGTTCTCCCGCTCAGTCTCGAACGCCTTCTTGACGTCACCACCACCTCCCATGGGCATCGGTGGTGGCGGAGGAGCCATCATCCCTCCCATCATCATCATATCCTCACCAGAGGTATCAGCAGCCGCTGCCATAGAAGCATCGTCGCCCGACGACCTATGTAGGGCTTCCGCCAGCAGCCCATGAAGTGCCCTAGGCCCTACCTCAATTGCTGATACAGTTGCATAATACCTTGGCTACTCATCGAAACAAAGAAGTACAGGGAAAGGGAGGAGACATACGAAGTGTCCAAGGCTGGAACATCCACTCCTCGCTGTAGCATTGATTTCACCTAAGCTCAGCATCATACTAGTAAAGGAGTTTCAACAGTGCCTGACTTTAAATGTGAGAGGGAACGGAGTCTTGGCCACAAGGAAGCCACTGAATAGGTGGGAGACCCAGTAGCCGAGCGTACCATGTATACCTAGCCACATCACAGTGTAGTGCATACAGACTAGCTCGAGGGATACTACCCAAGAACATGAACTGATTCTTCATCATCCCAGTGGCCATACTCGGGTCGGACTGAGCCTGCATCATAGCATCCATGGCGTTCTTCTGGGGAGGGACCTACAACAACCAACACCATAACCCTCTAGAGTCGTGGTTCATCAGTATCATCACCTGCCACAGCAGACCTTGGTCCTTCTTGAGATAGAGCGCTTTCTTAGACTGGAACGCCTTCTCTGTGAGGAAGTGCCCGTTAGCTCTCAGTAACTTCACACGAGTAAACAGTTTTTGCTTTTTAACTTCGTCCGGGTCCGCCTTTGGAGTCGCTCGTCCTAAACCATAACTCCTCCACCACCTCCCACCATTTCCATGCAAATTGACGACACCTCTTTCCTTACTACAACCACTTCAGCTGTAAACCCGCCGGGCGAGACCCCAGACGTAGTAGTCCCCACCTTACCCAAGATTTGCATCAAATTCATCCGTATGATGTTACTCATGATCACCACCACCACGATGGGGATGAGGACAAAGTCTCGGATCAACGGGTCCAGAAGGATAGGCGTTGTCATCTTCAAAAAAACCAATCACCACCAGCAAGCCTTTCCCCAACTAGCAAAAGGCCATGGCGAGCGCTTTTACCATGAGGGTAGCGCGCGCCCAAGATCAGAGCCGATTCGGCCTAGCTAGGCATTCCGAGGTGGAGAGTGCGTGAGCTAGTCGAGCTAGTTGAACTAGTTGAACGTTGTAAAGAGCGATTAAGATGAATCGCCAATCTTAGGAAACGAAGACGCTGTTGATAGTGCATCACGAGCGAACATCAACAATACTGCATGTGGTGTGATACGTTGCTTGGTAGCTCTACTTACCAGTGGTCCAGAAGGCGAACAACGAGACAAGGGATTTCCTAAATTCGTTGCTGAATCTCATCCGCGATTTCGGGAAATCCAAGAACATGCCGTATAGCACCGTTTGTGCCACAGCGCCGTAGAACCCCTTGTGACGTATTTTGACGCATTTACTAGAGTGTTGAGATTGTTAAGCACGTAGTACTATTGGGCGTGCGCATTTCCGGATACAGCGAATCAGGCTGTATCAGATTTCTCCAACTCGGAATTCGCCAAAATGACGCCAGACAGATTCGCAGGCCTAATGACCGGAATTCTAGGTGGAACCAGTGTTGGAACAGATTACAACAATGTGGTGAAATACGCTACTCTACAACTGATTTGGACTAAGGTTTGGTGGATTCTGCGAAATTCGACAGATGTGCAGTAATCTGCGTGTTGTTCTCATTCCGCCAACATCAGTACTGGCAATAACTGCACATGGACAGCTCCCGCCAAGTTGGTCTTCTGGACGAGGATTGCCAAGTAGGTGATTTTAGGGTTGTGAAATATGGATCGAACAGCATGCGCCCTGGCTATCGATTTATGTTCTGGACGGTCCAAATTGGACCAAACTTTTGGTGCCACCAAACTGGTGGTGCCCAGCACACTAGTCATTGGGGTTCGTACAAGATCATTATATCAAGACTCACATTGTCTTCACATTGTGAAGACAATGTGATACATGTCACCATGTAATACATGGTGACTTGAGTCACATTGTCTTCACAATGTGAAGACAATGTGAGTCTTGATATAATGATCTTGTACGAACCCCAATGACTAGTGTGCTGGGCACCACCAGTTTGGTGGCACCAAAAGTTTGGT